ATGTATATATATATATATATATATATATATATATATATATATATATATATATATATATATATATATATATATATATATATATATATATATATATATATATATATATATATATATATATATATATATATATATATATATATATATATATATATATATATATATATATATATATATATATATATATAAATATATATATATATATATATATATATATATTTTTTTTTTAATTTATGAGGTTTGATATTAAATCAGGTCAGTAAAAAAAGACACTATTAAGTCACTTGGCTCAGAAAAAAATGCATCCTTGACCCTTTAAAAGCATTCATGAATGGACTGCAAAATGGAAGGAATAGCGTTTTATGATCTGACCAGCTGGAAATAAGAATATCTGCCAATAAATAATGGGTGGGAATGACTATACATGCTTTCTGTGCAAACATCATTCTCACCTCCTCCAGCTCTCGCTGCGTCTCTTCCTCCATCCTGCGAATGTCCTCCATGGTGAGCTCAACCCAGTTGTCGATCCAACAGAACAGCTGACGGTGAAAGTTGGTGAAGATTCTTTTCTCTTGCTAAAAGTAAAAAAGAAAAATATATACTATAAAGAAATAATACTAATAATAATAATAATAACAAAAATAATAATAATAAACACTGAACCAGACTAAACATGCACTGATATCTTCATTTTTCATAAACAAAGCAGTTATAAGACCTTATTATAAAACATTATTATAAAACAATTCAATATAATAATACATTATTATTTGTTTATTATTAATACACAAACTGTTGATTGAGACAAATAAACACAGAACTAGACTAAGAATTCACTGACATTTTTTTTCAATAAAACTGTTGTAATACCTTACTATAAAATAGTATTATGAAACAATACAATATATTATTATTATTATTATTATATTTATTATATTATTATATTAATAATTAATAATACACAGACCTTTGAATGGGACAAATAAACAGAACTAGACTAAAGGCTCGTACACACCGGGACGCTTTTCGTTTGTGTTTTTCCGAATTCAAACCCGAGCGATTTTCACAACCGTCGAGCAAAAGAGTATGCAAAAGCACTCACTGACGTTAGATGGCGCTAAACAACTTTAAGCTTCTGACACTTGCTTGTAACAAAGAAGAGGGCAGAAAGTTGACACGCTTGTTGTTAAAGTTACTGGTGATTTGAACAAGCATGGATGGTGCAAGTAGCAGCTCCAACTCTAGCTATGAAGAAATGATCATTGATAACCAGTGCAAAAAGCAGCTCCACGTTTATATCGCCACTGGGCATCTTCATCAATGTGCGCTCACATTGACAGTTTTGTGCTTGAGCGCCTCCAAGTGCTGTTTACTGTAACTTCAGCAGCTCCGTGCACGTGAACAAAAGTGCCAATCTGATTGGTGGAGAAAAAAAAAGAACGAGCATGAGGCGTTTCTTTAAAAATGACGTTTTTACGCCTGCCGTTTTGCGTGTTGGTGTACATGATTAAATTGCCGCCCTTTATTTAGTTATGAGGCAATAAACGTCAACGGAAAATGCAAGCAAAAGCATCCCGCTGTGAACAGGCCTTAAGACTGCACATACATTTTTTCATGACAAAAAAAGTTGTTGTAATAACAATATTATTTTTTCATTGTAATTATAAATACACAAACTATTTCATGGGACAAATAAACACACTTGACTAAGATTTCACTGGCATATTTTTTTATGCACTGAGCTCTATTTTTTGTATCAAACAAAGCTGTTGTAAGATCTTATTATATAACTATTAAAAAAACAATGCAATATATTAATAATATATCATTTTTATAATTATAAATACACAAACTGTTGAATGGCACTTTTATAAATGGACCTAAATCGCACTGATATCTTTTTTTTTTCCAAAGCAAAGCTGTTGTAAGACCCTATTATAAAATATTATTATCAAACTATTTAATATAATAAGAAAAATAAAAAAATAAAATAATAATAATATCATTAATGTGGGACAAATAAACATGGAGTTAGACTAAAAATCTTTTTTATAACAAACAAAGCTGTTGTGACACCTTATTATAAAATATTATTATCAAACTACTTAATATAACAATAATAATAATAATATTAAATATAATAATCCAAATATCATTAATGTGAGACAAATAAATATGGAATAAGACTAAGAATGCACAGACATCTTTTTTATCATAACAAATAAAGCTGTTGCTAGACATTATTATATAACTTTATTT